TAGGTAGCCCAACCCACGGGACAAAACATGTATATACAATACTTATTTTGAGTATTAAAAATATACTAAACAACGAGTATTTAAAGTAAATAATTAATAACTACTTTTTGTTAGTGTAATTTGTAAGTTAGTTAATTATTTTTAAGAGATAAACATCTTTAAAAAAACGCTGTGAAGGTAGTAATGTTGAGTAATGTAATCGAATAAATATATGGTCAGAGTTTTCATCTCCAATGAACTTGATCTTGACATATGTCGTCATACAAAAATAACGGCAAAACTAACGGTAAAATTGTAACCTAAAAAGTAACAGTAAAATCGTCATAAAAAAGTAACTACAAAACTAACAGTAAAAGTAACTTCCATCTCTGGTTGTAAGAGAGAGCTGGGCCGCATGTCGACAGATAGTTATAATACGATTGAATTGACGCTACGTCTCCACAGTTTTAAAAAATCGGATTAATTGTCTTTTTGGAATCGTGATCACTATATTCGAAACATGGTAAAGAAAACCGCGAATAAAGTTCTGAAACATTATAGTACAGGCACCGCTCCGTTTTCCGTTAGGAGCAATAGTGACACTCAGAAAGGAACGAAACTTTGCTCTGTTGGATAGAACCGTTCTAGAATGGTTTCGAAAGGTTGAATATAAGTAATGGCGAGCGCTGGTCATAGCAATTGATTGATGCGCGCTTTTTAAATCGATCCAGCGGCCCCAAACACCACGTCATTTTATCTCGTATATTTTGGACAATTTTCGTTTCTTCCATCATACGTTTTTATGGGATATTCTTAAGACTAATTCTTAAGCTTTAAAAAAAAACAGAAAAAAATCGATGTTTTTTACCTCTAAAACGTAAAAACCTCCTTAAAATGTATCGTTTAAGGGAGATTTACGGGACTTTTGCGTGTTTTTTCAACATTTATTTTTTCATAGTAAAATGTATCGAATCACTGCGCTCTTTTCGCATAATATTAAGAACATATTGAAGTTTAAAAAAAAATTTTGTTTGAATTTTTTCCGCCCTTGACGGCGACAAAATGGC